TTTCAAGAGTCATGTTTGGCTCTTTTTGTGTGTGTGTGGTCACCTCCGTCCATGTGCATGTAAGTTGTAACAGTGATTCTTCATGTTGTAATCACCTTATATGATGGGCTTCCCCCATGACGTGATGTTGCTTGCCTTATTACCATTGACCTTGAAGTCGATCTGATTTCTAGCCTTTGACAGACCATCTAAGTGGTGACATGTAACCATAAGTTTGGGTGGATTCAATTTGCATAGGGTTCAACAGATAATTTGATCTGTCGTATATTCTGTTTCACATATTGATCTTTTAATTACATATGTTATCTCTCATAAGAATTTGTTGAGAGTATTATCCCACATCCGGAACACATGTTGTGCATTTGGCTGCATATGAAGAATTTATTATCTTTTTCCAGTGCAGGGAAGGAGCCAAACTATTTGATTCTCAGTGATCTTTATTATCATCTACAAGGAGAGCTTGAAGGCCGTGAAGTCAGTGCTGGACCTTTCAAAGAACTTTCTCGGTTCCTTATAGAATCAAATGTTTTTCAGATTTACCAACATAAATATGATGCTGATCTTTTTGTAACCGGAAAAGATGCATACTTGTTTGATCTTAAACGTGTACGAGCTGATTTGGGGTTAGATCTTTGGGATTATTCAAAGTGGAAGGCATCAAAGGCAACTGCAGAAACAATGTTGAATCACATGAAGGCTGCAAACTCAATGGCGTTGCTTACAAGTTCGAAGCTTTCTGCACTAAGGGCATTAAGAAGTGTCTTAACTGTGTACACGGATGATGTGAGTTCTCTCTTAGACTTTGTAATTGCTTACAGTTGCGTTCTCATAGTTAGAAATTCGATATCTGTAGCTACTTTTTATGGTTCAAGATATTTTAAGGATCATGTAGATGTCTGTAGCTGCTTTTTATGGTTCAAGATATTTTAAGGATCATGTAGATGTATATAATGGTTTAAAATACTTTAAATCTAATGTTAGTTATAAATAAAAAAAGTTGATGTCTAATATTTCAAATATCTGATTTCTCATTTCAAAGTTTTTGAAAGTTAAGCAGTGTTAGTGATAGCTCAGTTGATGAACACTGTGCTGCACCTATGCCATGTCTAATTAGGGTGCCGAAGAATGAAGTGAAAACACTAGGACCTAGAGCTAGAGGTTCAACCCTCATGATATATCAAGTTTCCTATCGTCAAAACTGGGTATGAATGGTAAAAGAATTTAATTGTACCTGATGAATACTGATTTTATTTTGAAATACTCCGGTAACTTCTATCCATTTTCTAATGAGAGCGACAAAGTCATTGCATTCCATCTAATCATGAATACGATACGAAAAACTGAGTTGTTGAGGTTTTAACATATAGTGAAGGCCCCAATATTGTGTTGGAAGAAATCACATGATCTAAGCATCCTGCTTTCAGCAGTGGGCATCTAAATGCTGATTAGTGCGGTTTGTGGGCTGTTGTATGGCTTTATTTATCATGGTTTGGTTTTTTTTATTTTTGCTTTAGAAAATGCCTAATTCTTTTTTGAAATTAATTCACGTGTACCTGCTACTGCAGTCACTGGAGATGAAAAGTACAGCGAAAGAGATGTCTGATCAACTTGTTTTCTCATGCATCAATCACATATGCCAGAGCTTCCATGACACAGTAGAATCATTAGCTTCATTACCTGGAGCTCCTGAAGATATCTTTCACTTCCTTTCAGCTCAAGCAGAGTTGCTTCTCTATCTTATGATGTATGCACATAAAAGCCTGCCTTTGTCTGTTTGCATTCTTATACTAAAAACATCAGGTTCTGGCCTTAAAGTATTGAGTGATTTCAGAGCATTAGTTACCGGGCCAGCAGTTATGGGGGTTAACACTACAGTAAAGCTCTTGCTTATGTTGCTTCTCTCAGCGGTGGAGTTTAGTTGTCATAAGTCACATTTAGTTGGGGCAAGAGATATAGCATCTGTTGAAGACCTGGCTAAAATATCTAATGCAAGTCTTGGTCTACTACCAATTCTCTGTAACTGTATGGCTATTGTTGAGCATGGCACCCTCTCCCTAACTACTATGGACTTGATACTGAGAAATTTCTTAACTCCCAACACTTGGTTCCCCATTATACAAAATCACCTCCAGCTTCAGCATCTTATTCTGAAGCTTCAAGATAAGAACTCACTTGACTCTGTGCCCATTATAATGAAGTTCTTTTTGACTGTTGCCCGTGTGAGGCAGGGTGCAGAAATGCTAATTAATTATGGGTTTCTTTCGTCTCTGAGACTTTTGTTTGCTGAGTACTTGGAAGGTAGGTCTTCTTCCGTTAATACTACTAAGAGAAATCCCAACTCAACTGAAAAAACTGAGAAGCCTCAGCAAATTTGGGGACTTGGTTTGGCAGTCATCACAGCTATGGTTCAGTCTTTAGGAGACAGTTCTGCTTGTTCTGATGTTGTGGAGAATGTAATACCTTACTTCTTTTCGGAGAAAGCCTATATGATTTCTTACTATCTCAGTGCTCCAGATTTCCCATCTGATGGTCATGACAAGAAAAGACCTCGGTCTCAGCAGAGACAAACTTCTCTTACTGATCTTAAAGAAACTGAGCATACTCTCATGCTGATGTGCGTGCTAGCAAAACATTGGAATTCATGGGTTAAAGCCATGAAAGAAATGGACTCCCAGCTGAGAGAGAAAAGTATCCATCTTTTGGCCTTTATCAGCCGGGGAACTCAACGCCTTGGAGAATCTTCGAGTCTTAATGCTCCTCTCGTATGCCCTCCTATCCTTAAAGAGGAATTCGATGGCTGCAAGAAACCCTCATTTGTTAACAGTAGAAGTGGATGGTTTGCTCTTTCACCGCTCAGTTGTGTGTCAAAACCAAAATTCTCGGCCATCTCTACCACAACTGCGCTGGCTATTAAAACTCAATCAACTGAAAATAGTGATCACGTATCTCAGTCATACTTCTCCGACACTGTTGCCCTTCAGATATACAGAATTACTTTTCTTCTCTTGAAGTTCCTCTGTTTACAAGCTGAGGGTGCTGCTAGAAGGGCAGAGGAGGTGGGGTTTGTTGATCTTGACCATTTTCCTGAGCTTCCAATGCCTGAAATCCTGCATGGCTTACAAGTAAGATGACAATTTTTTATTCTTTAATTAGTTTTTATTTTGCTAATCTTTTAAGATCTTGAGATGTCTCAAGGTGTGGCTTTGATTTGTTTAATTATGCAAAAAATATCTGGTCTTCCAAATACTTAAAATTAAGTTTCGAGGCGACTTTTGTTTTGAGTTGGATATGTTATCTCTGATGTAGGATCAAGCAATTACCATTGTTACGGAGCTGTGTGGGGATAAAAGATCAAATGAGATTCAAATTGAAGTGCAGAGTATCTGTTGCTTATTGCTACAAATAATGGAGATGGCCTTGCACTTGGAACTTTGTGTTCTACAAATATGCGGCATAAGACCTGTGTTAGGGCGAGTGGAAGATTTTTCAAAGGAAGTTAAACTTTTAATAAAAGGTGAACTCCATTCACTCTGCATACATGTTTTATCACTTTTTTTAATGGTAGTTCTTCAACATTTAACGAATGGTTTTTTCCTTGTAATATATTTTGTAGCGATGGAGAGACATGCGTTCCTCAAATCATCTGTGAAGTCCTTGAAACAAATAACGTCGGTTATCTATCCCGGATTGTTACAGGCTGAAGAGTTTTTGTGAGATAAATTCTTGTGCATATAGGTGAAATCTGAAAACTGTAGGCTTTGGAAGAAAAATGTAAAAACTAGTGTGTATTGCTTACATCAATGGCTTTAGAAATATTCCGCAGGCTTATAAAATTGTGCCATTTCTTTCAGCCATTCCTTTTGTATATATTTTCTTTTGAGAAAGGTTGTGGCTCTATGATGGAGAAGATTTCTAAAATCCGTGGCCATTCATGATTGTCGCGTGAGAATTTCCTTTCCTTCACTTTCCCAAACAAAAGGTCCCCTATAGGTATCTATCATTTGCTTTTATGCATTAGTGGGACCTATGATTTCTTCATAGTGAAATGCATCTAATTTTCAGATCCAATTCGAATTTAATAAATTACAGCAGTGTTTAGGGCAGTCGCTCTCGTGGGTGACTCTCGATTGTTGATGCATGTACATTAGCAGGGTGTGATCACCTGCACGTTCGTAAGCAACTGTCCGTAGCATTTCGTAAGTCTACTTTCTCTCCATGTTGTCGTATCCCAATTCTCGACCCAAAGAAGAAGAAAAAATATTGACGGCACCAACGAAAAGAATTTTTCTGGTCCCTACAAAAAATGGCATATGATCACAAGTTCTGAGCTCCATAAGCCATATACCCATTGTTTTGCTTATGAATGATGATCTGTCAATTGGAAGATAATCAGCAGGTGAATCCCCACAACTTTACTAAAGAAAGTGTGCTTCCTCTTTTAGAGAATAATGATCCTCCAAGAATATATGATTTCATTGATTTGTTTATTTTTATTTCATAATTAAGAAAATTTTATATTATTTTCCGCATGGAATAAATAGCAAATTAAATTAATTAATCCAATGGTTGTCATTCGTCCTTCAATCTACATTTCCTAGGTTGGACCAAGTGAACGGGTCCAATTCATGGATCGATGGACCGGGCATCCATGCATGATCCATGGATACATATATTTATTTATTAATTTATTTTTCATTCAGAAAAATAAATAATATAAAAATTAGTCCTCATGATCCGTAATTTCAGATCCTTTTGGCTTTATGTGTATGTCGGCATCTGCATCCTTGCGAAATCCAGACCGTCGGATCTGCCTCAGAGGGTCAGTAAAAATCAGTAAAATTGTCAGTGTTTCACCTTTTATTTAATACCATGTGTGCCATCCAAGTGTTTACCAAATTCACAACACAACGTGGTCCAAACGGTGTCGTTTCTTTCTCCCGAAAGTCCACGAACCCTAATACCCTATCCGAATAATGACAAAGGCATATACCAGTACACAACCACTTCACTCAGCCTCGGATCCCAAAACCCAACCCTGGTTAAAACCCGACCCAACCACGGTTAGCCCATATCCCGTCAGATTCAATGCACGTGTCTTCATCCAACGGCTGAAAACAACTTGCCATAGATATTCACCTCAGAGGCCCTTTTATAAACCCCTCGTCCTCGTGACCTCGTCCACGCATCGCAAACCCTAAGCATCATCGCTCTCGTTTTCCCCAAATCTCTTCGCGAACGATCCAAACAAACCCTTGAAATTCGCATCAATGGCTTCAAACCCTAAGGTCTTCTTCGACATGACGATCGGAGGCCAGCCTGCCGGCCGTATCGTCATGGAGCTCTACGCCGACACCACCCCCCGCACCGCCGAGAACTTCAGGGCTCTTTGCACCGGAGAGAAGGGAGTTGGCCGCAGCGGTAAGCCCCTGCACTACAAGGGTTCCTCCTTCCACCGAGTGATCCCAGGGTTCATGTGCCAGGGAGGTGACTTCACAGCCGGAAACGGCACCGGAGGTGAATCGATCTACGGCGCCAAGTTCGCCGATGAGAACTTCGTCAAGAAGCACACCGGACCTGGAATCCTGTCCATGGCCAACGCCGGCCCCGGTACCAACGGATCTCAGTTCTTCGTCTGCACGGCCAAGACCGAGTGGCTCGACGGCAAGCACGTCGTGTTCGGTCAAGTGATCGAGGGGCTTGATGTTGTGAAAAACATCGAGAAGGTTGGGTCGAGCTCCGGCAGGACCTCCAAGCCAGTGGTGGTTGCTGACTGCGGCCAGCTCTCCTAGACGACTCCGTTTACTCGGTGCTCTGGCGATGATGGAAACGTCGTCGTTTATCTCTCTGTTATTATGAGTCGGTCTGTCTTTACTTTTTCGAATTTCGGTTTTTAGTAGGCTGGGGTCTGATTAGGGTTTGTTTTATGG